ACAGGGAGTCATCCTCTCCGAAGTCCTGCACAGGGTAAAGAAGACTCTGAGACTGGCCTCTGTATCCAGTGAGCTGGGAAGGATAGCCATGTCTCCCAGGAAAACAAAACTCCTGCAGCTATGGGAGAGTTCCTTTCTGCTGCTCCCTTGCTCAGCCACAGCTGCCTGCCTGCGGGCTGTGCTGGCCTGGGCAGCAGGAACGCCCCCTCCCCACCATGCTGCCGGCCCAGACCCCGCACGTCCTTAAGTGAGGCCTTGCTCACTGGCTGCTCATCCGCGAGGCCCAGCCTAACATCTCCCCCAGCTCACTCCCTCTCAACTTTATCGAACTCAGCTCACGTGTCCCTCTTGTCCATCCTGCTGCCTGCTCATTTCACAGGGTGTTGCTCACCTCATGAGAAGCTTTGTTTCTGGAAGCTGGTCCTTTTTAGAGCAGGAGTTGGCAAATTTTTTCTTAAGGGGCCAGATAATACATATTTGCGTCTTTGTGGGCTGTGTGGTTTCTGTCAACTACTCAACTCTGTCATTATAGCACGAAAATAGCCATAACAATACATAAACTAATGAGTGTGGCTGTGTTCCCATGACATTTTATTTAAAGTTGGTGGGCTGGATTTGGCCCATGGGTTGTAGTTTGCCTACCCGTGGTTTAGATCCACCTCGATCCCACAACGATTTGAGACAGGTTTCAGTGACCGGGGTAACACAAGGGAAGGGAAATAGAACTATGAGGAAAGGAGACAAACACAAAACTAGGCAGGGACATAAACAACAGCCAGGAAGGGCTGATGCCCAGGATTTCCATAAGAAACGGCCCAATAAGCCTTGGCACTGTGATCTCTGCAGCCTCCCAATATGGGGTCTTAATGGGCCAGTGCTTAGGGGAAGAGTGGGCAGGAGGGGGCTATTGACTGCATTGGAGTCCCCTGATGAGCACTGGGCACCAAGTACTTCCCCAGCCAGCTGTGTTCTCTTTTGCAGAACTGTGCACAATGCTGGCTCCTTCCAGGTGCCAGGTGCAGTAAAATATTGGAGAGGGCAGCTGAAACCCATGCGTTTGCTGCGAAACATCACTCTGCTTAAAAGAGCCCTGTTCCTACCTACCATTTGAGGAAGCCTCAATAATAAAAATAGAACACCAGATAGCTGATTTGTCCTGCGTCATAACAGGTTCGTAAATGGTTCATACCTGAGTTGCTTATGAAAAGTTAATGGCTAGTCCATTCTGAGTTGACATATTTCTAGTCTAAGCTATTTCCTGAGTCAAAACCTAAGTCTGGAGGCAAATATGTTTCACTTGGAGTCTCAGATGGGATGGCATCTTGAGAGAGGGCTGGGAAGTTGGGTGCAGCCCCCATCTTGGGGAAGAGGGTGGGGGGCTTGGAAACCCACTTGGTCAGTTCAGGGCAGACTCCATCCCAAAGGGGAAGCCAGAGCTGCTCTCAGGGAGTCTAGCTGGGGCCGGCTGGCATTTCCCCTCCAAACCGCCTTCCTGACACTTCACACCCACAGCTCCTCCTCATGAGAGGGCCCCAGAAGCCAGTCTCAAGCTCTGGCGACCCTTGCTCTTGTCACTACCTTGGCGGAGTTACTTGGTCACGTGGACCACAGCATCCCTCAGGCTGAGAAGTGCCCCGGGCCCCAAGGGCTGCCCCAGGGCAGAAGTTCCCACAGATCAACCTGAGAATGATACCCATTAATAAAGCATGTTCTTTGAGAGGTGACAGACAGCAGTCCCCCTTTATCCAAAGATTTGCTTTCCACGGTTTTGATTACCCAAGGTAAACTGTAGTCCAAAACTATTACATGGAAAATTCCAGAAATAATTCATAAGTTTTAAATTGTGCACCATTCTGAGTAGTGTGACGAAATGTTGTGCCATCCTATGCTGGGGATGTGAACTATCCCTTTGTCCAGTGTCTCCACGCTGTAGACAGTCCCCTCCCATTAGTCACTTAGCAGCCGTCTCGGTCATCAGATCGACTGTTGCGGTATCACAGTGCTTGTGTTTAAGTAACTCTTATTTTGCTTAATAATGGCCCCAAAGTGCAAGAGTAGTGATGCTGGCATATTGTTATAATTGTTGTTCTATTTTATTATTAGTTATTTTTGTTAATTTCTTATTGTGCTTAATTTATAAATTAAAAGTTATCACAGGTATGTATGCGTAGGAAAAAACAGTATATATAGGGTTCATTTCTATCTGAGGTTTCAGGCACCCACTGGGGATCTGGGAACGTATCCCCTGCAGATAAGGAGGGTACTGTACATTGCCTTGTTTAATCCTCAGAGAAAAACCCTTGAAAGCCCCAAGTCATAAAACAAAACAAAACCCCAGTCCCCAGGGGGTAAGACAGTAGGGCTGTCCTTGAAAATATATGTATTCAGAGTCTGATCTCCTCTTACCTCCACTGCCACCACCCTGGGCCCAGCCACCATCTTGTCTGGGGATGGCAGAGACCTCCACCTCTGCTCCCTGCAGTCTCCTCCCCACACAGCAGCCAGGTGGTCCCTTTAAAGCAGATGCCAGGTCTCCTTCCTTGCTCAGAACCTTGCTTAGGGCCCTAGCCCTCAAGCTATGGGAATGATTTGACCCAGCCCCCCCCCCCCCGACCCCATCTCTTCCCCCTCTCCCCTTGCTGCTCTAATGTGCCTGGCCTCCCCCTCCAGGAACTGGCC